CCTGAGCTGGGCATCTGTCACTCCCACACAGCTCTACAGCAAGGCTGAACTGGGCAGGCTCATGATGGAGCTGCTCTTCTTTCCCCCAGCCCTAAGGATGGAGCAGGACTGGCCACATCTTCTCCCATAGCTTCTGCCACAGCTGAAAATATTTTCCCAAGCAGAAAGACCACAGTGGTCCCCTGGTCAGCCTGAGCACCTCATGTCAGAGCAGAACCTCCTGCTGCCCTGCAGGAGCACATTCTGGGGGTGTGCACCCAGGCATTTCCCCTGATGCCTCTGTGAGCTCAGATAAATCCTGGGAATGCAGGCAGGAATGCATCTTGATATCTTCAGTGTCATGCTTTTTATAAGCTACAAGAACATGAAAATTTGGTGGATGATTGATTGATAACTTATGATCATGGTTTATATTTCCGTTGGGTTTTTTTGGGAGGGGTCAGTTCTGGGGTGGTTATGGAATGATGATGACTGTTGGTTATTGGTTTTGATACTAGGAAATACAGAGGAAGGTTAATTGAAAGTGTATTGATGATAAGTGATTTGGATAATATAGGGATATATGGTTTAATTGTTTATTAAAAAAAAGTAAAAATGTCAAGATAGAAAGAAAATTATATGTGTAAAATGGGATTTAAAGGGCTGGCTGGGGCTGCCTTTACAGCAGCCCAGCACTAGGTAGCACTGTCACTCCAGGAAAGCAAAGCCAGGCACATCAGCACTGGAACTGCTTTTCCTTTCCCAGACCAGAAATGAACATGTTAGCAGAGCAAAACCCTTATTTGTAGAACTGCTCACAGTACACCTACAATCCCAACACTCTCCTCACCTCTGATATACAACAGTGTGTCTTCCCAATTTCTCTTTTTTTAAGCATCAGAATTTATAATCTTAAATGTTCACAAATACTGAGATTTTGCACTGATGCTTTAAGTTTGCATCTATTTGCATCTATGATTAAAGATGATGATGATGATGGAACACCTCTGTAAAATAATTCTTTCAGTACTAAAATTATCTGGAGATCTAGAAAAGACTTTACCTGCCACCATCCCAAACTCAATTCATCTGAGGGTGGCAATAACTAGCTGAACACAACTTTTAGACAATATAAACATTAAACCTGAATTCAAGAGCACAAAAAAGAAAAACGCAAGTGCTGTTTCTCATGACCTTTGTAACTTATTAGTAATCTACTTTATCAAGTGGTTCTGAATGGATGTGCATTGAATGTCACTGCTCCACCACCATTCTCAGGAGGCTTTAGTTTGGTGATGTGCACAGAAATCTCCTGTACTTTCCAACACTTTGGAATACATAATTTTATTTATAACATGTAATTCTTTAGAATCAACAATGAGATTTTACTGCAGGTACGTTATTTGCTTCTGAAAGCTCATCCTCTCCAGAAAGAGTATGACAGCAAATTGTATGCTGGAAGGAAGCACTTCTGCTAATTTCATCATGTTTGAGTTGTAAAAGGCAGATGTAACAAAGGGGATGTTCCTGGAGCCCCAAAGATTTTCTTATATTCAATGTCTTGAGAATCTTAATGGTATTTTTTTTCCCTATGTTAATAACACTTTCAGTGAAGCAGGGATGAGAATTAAAGAGTTTTCAGTGATTAAGCAACAGAAGGTATTTCAAAGGTTGTACATGGGAAAAGGCAATTTTTCTCCATTTCTAGGGTATGGGAAGGGAAAAATGCCAAATTTCCAACTTCAGCTCTAAGTTTCCCCCATCCTGTCTCATGCATGCCCAGTTATTCCCAAACTGTGACTCACTGACACCTCAATGAAAGCTGATGGCAAAGCTGGGAGCATTGAACATCATAAACTGAGAGAAGTTTTTAACTTCCCATCCCAAGGTTTGTGCAAGGTACTTGTACCTTGAGAGTGATACTGACAAGAAAAAGCTAAAATAAAACCACAAGCCTTTTGGGCCCAGAAAAGCAAAGTAATCTCTTCCTCCCTGTTAACTCCATTGAGAGATTATAGACTTTTCCCACAACTTCAAACTGTTATGCCAGCAAAGAGTCACTTTCTGAGGAAAGACACACAGGATGATCACACTGTAACGAATTCAGGATATTTGGAACCAAGAGCTGGTGTGGGCTCAGTTGCTTTACAGATGCCCCAGCATGGAAGGTGAGGATGAAGCAGAGGTTCTCTACCAGGTGAGACAAGTGCTCATGGTCTGTTCTTCTTGTCAAAGAGCAAGGAGCTCCATGGATTTCTTCCTCCTCTCTGGGAGCTCTGTCTCAGCCACTTCCACCTTCAAATCTTGACTGCAGCAGAAATTGATACATGAGATACTCAGATTTCTGAGCTGTGTCTCATGCTGCATTAAAGCAAGGAGCTTGTTTAACATCAGAGGTGCTTGTTTAACTATGTCCCACAGTTTGGGAATCCTTACCTTTAACCAGGCATTTGGGGGGTGGATATGTGTCATTTCAAGACACTATCCAGGCATGATGAGAACTCCCTAAGTTTTGATTCAGATTTAAATTTCCTTTACAATTGCAAAAAATAAGCATGAGTTCAACACGGTTATTTTCCCCGAAGAGAAATGAAATGAAAAATCTTGATGTCAAAAGAGTTCAGGTCCTTAAGGAAAGTTTTGGTGAATATAGTCAACAGCTGAAGACAGGATATTCTACACCTTAAAGACTGAGTCAGATAGAACTGACTGTCCTTTCCCTCCTCTTAGTATTTCTTCAGCTCCATCAGAAACCAGCTAAAAACCTGGGCATCCTGGCCTAATTTCAAAAAATGCAGCTAGAATTTCACAGCTTGCTATTTTCTCACAACTGCCATCTCCCCAAATCTCTCCTATTTCAGTCCACCAAGCTGCAACACTTCATCTTAGAGGACCAGAGCTCTGCACTACCCAAGATCTGTTTGCTGTGGCCCATGCCTCCCACATACACTGTCCTCACACAGGAACCCCCAAAACCTGCATGGAAGGAGCCCTTTCAGCCACTGCTGGGCTCTTCTTCAGCAGCTCCCTTCAGCACTCCTCCATGCACTATCCCTTGCATGAAACACATATTAAAGGAAGAATGAGGAAATAATTGTGTCTCCCTTTGCTATCAGAGCCTCCTGACCATCCCAGCTGCAGGGGATTTTGTGCAGCACTGAGCATAAACAAGAGTTAAAACATTAATTTACAGTCAGGAGAAAATCCACTTTTGCACTTCAGGATATTGACCACTTTGAAAATCTAGCATCACCTGTATAAAACTAATTGCTGTGGACAGCAACAATGCAGATTTTCAAACATTCTTGTTTTCCATTCTTGTCCTTCAAGTCAAATTGTGACTGCATTCTCCTAATTTGGTGCATTAACATTTCTGTGGTGCCACTTCTCAGGGTACCATTAAAAAACAAAATCAAAAAGCTACATATTACAGATGGTGGAACCAGTCTCATATTCTTCCTACAAAAGCATCACTTTTTCCTGCATATCTCACCATTTGTACTTGTGAAACATCATTTAGTCTCAAACAAGCCAGGAAATTTCCAGCCTTCTACAAGTCAGACTTGAAATTCAAGTGCAGAATTAGCACAAGAACATTCTGCATCATTAGCTAAATTCAAGCATCTTGTTCAAGTACTACTTCTAGATTTCTTGTAAGGAAATGGATGATGATTCAGAAAGCATAATTTCCAAAGGTACGGTTGATGCTGCTGCAAGAATACAAGTTCTGGAGGGCATAGATATGCATCAAATCCCACTAGAAAATTAGTCATTGTTTTTTCTCCTGTAAGTACATCCTTCTAAATTGGTCTGTGACATTGAATTGAGAGACCAGGGTTTGGAGTCTGCTATGAAACAGCAAGTACTGAATAAATTTTTTAGCACATTCTCAATAACTTCTCTCAATTGTGAGATTTCATTGCAGGGTTTCTATTAATCTCCTTCTAATATTCTCATGCAAGATTTAGCAAGTAAACACTGAATAAATGTGCTTTGGAACTGTATGAATAATTTCCTAGAGTACTACAGAACACAAAGGCACAAAGTATTTTGTGAGGCTAGTTTTGCTTTCCCAAACAAATTAAGCCTCTCTGAATTGATGACGTAAATAATTCAGTATTATTCCATTTACTAAATTAGGAACAAGTGAGGCAGAATGTTCATTTTTAGGAGAGCAGTCTGTTTTGCAACAGAGAGATGATCCTAGTAATAAAGAATTCTCACAGAACACCTCCAATTCATGCATTGCATTTGTCTGAAAATGTTCCTGTCAAAAGGAAAAAATTCTCACCTGTACTTTTCATTATTCATTGACTGATATTTTTAAATGCAGTAACAATAAGTCAGAGAGGGCCTCCTAAGCCTTTCACTGCTTTGAAAACCTCCTGCTTTCCTCAAGTCATTTAACTGACACATCAGTTCCAGCAGGCAGTTTGTGAACAGAAGCTGCACAGCAGATACAAGTGTGTGCATGTCATAACCTTGCCCACAGGCCCCTAACGAAGAGAACCTTCTCAAAAATTAAGGATCAGTAAATTCCTCCAAAGAAAACTGAAAAAGTAGAGGATGCTACACAGGCTAAAATGTCCTCTGAGTCATTAGGTGCTTGTACCCCAGGACTGCAGTGACAGGAAAAGGTAAATGTCAAAAAGGAGAGTAGGTGCAAGTCAACAATAAACAAGGACAGCACCCAAAATACATCTGCTCTGATATGACCATCTGGCTTCAACAACCTCACAGAATGGACAGGCTTGTATTTCCTATGAAAATAACAGAGGAACTCCAAAATGAAGGAGAATTTTGCAGCAGGAATGTGATGGTTAGCAAAATCCTACCATGCCTCCTGTGCTGCAATATCATCACGTGCTTGCCTTTGCTACCAGGTGTAGCTTGTGTGGGTGGGGGTGCCTTCAAACATAAATTACCAATAAACACGCATTGTACTTAGTGTCAGGGAATTAATTGAGCTTTCTGGAATGAAAGCCTTTTGGCACAAAAATGATAAACCAAGGTTGACCTACCTGAATGGGTCCCACTGACATCAGCAGGTTTTTCAGTTGGACATCAGTAGTTGATGAAGAAAGCCCTTCAACTGACACAATACAGGGCTGAGGTTTGCACTCCACCACTCGCAGGTTCTGTTTATTTGGCATCAAGCGTCCTCGGCCCATCTGGCCTGCTACTCCTCTGCCTCTGCCGTGCATAATGACCTGCCAACAACAAAAGTAACAGTATTTTGATTTACTTACCCACTGACTCTGTGTGCTGCACTTGACAGAGGATATAAAAGTTGGCTATTCACTTGAAGACTTGATTAAAGTCTTGATTTAAAACAGCTTGTTGCTGTTTGCCAATTTGAAAGGCCGCTTACTAACATATTCCTCCACTGCTTATGCACACCTCTTTTAGCAGGATAACAAGTTATATATTGAGTTATATATACTGCATTCATCCTAGAAGTCTCACCTCTAGCACAGATTGATCAATCACACAGTGGAGGATCTCAGACAAAAATATATAACCTAGTTTTCGACACTGATCACATCAGCAGCATGTGTTCGGCTCCAACATTTTGAGTATGGACAAAAAAACCCAACAGGTGATCCCTCTCCTTCTTCTATTCTTAACCCATAGGTAAATTTAATGTACTCACAAGATCAGCAAAGTGCTTCAAGCACCTTCAATCTCTACTGCTACCAACTCTTGGTTTTATTCGCATAAGGCTAAATAACTTTAAAATAACTTTTTTCAAAGTTCCTCTTCCCTGTACTCTGGAGCAGAAAATGCATAGATTTAATTCTTGCAAATCGAATGTTGAACAGTCAAGAGTGGAAAAATAACAACCAAACAGAGAAACAAACATTAAACAGAGTTAACACTTAACACTGAGTCAACATTCAACAGTTTCTTGACTTCTACTTGTAAAGCCTGTGATGGGTAATAACTTTTCATACCCTTCAACATCTGCAACAAAACTTTATCTTTATGAAACAGGAAGACTATGGCCAACAGTTCAAAATCAAGAACTAACTTAAAAGCCAAAATGCCAGCTACCTTCAAGGAGTGTGCCAGCTTGCAAATGCAGCACACACTGCTGCCACCCTGACCCTTGCCTGCCTCCTACCAGTGCATGATCAGGGCAGAAATCAAGTTACAAGATCACCAACTGTTCTGAGTGATAGCAACTTCAGGAATCCAGCATAGAGCATCCTGAAACAGTTACTGTGTGCTCCTACATAAGAGGAAACTGCCAAAATGAAATCTTAAGCACAACTTCAAAAACCCACTTGGTTTTAAAGCTAAAAAGCACACTGGTTACCATCTCCTCCAGTAGCTGTCTCGGGACACATGCACTTCCCCAGGGAGTGCTGAGCTGGCCAGAACATCAGCAGATGAAGCAACCTGCAGGCACTGCCAGTCTGTGCTGGGTACAAACAAGTCTCTCTAGATTAAAAGCTTTATATGCAATTATGCATCTCCTGGGTCATGCAGCCCTGTGCTAGCAACTGACAAACAGAATGCCGGTTATTAATAGACCAACACAGCTAGACAGTGAAACTTCTAGCACCAATATGCATCTAAAAATCACCTTTTTAGGTTGATGGATTCCCTGGATGTTTTTGACTCCTTGAGGAGCTGGTGAATGGATCTGTGCCTGCTGCTGCTGTTGGTGCTGCTGCATTCCCTTTGTCAATGTGACCTTCCGCACTGGCGGCTGTTTCGGCTCCGGGGGTTGCTGAGGCCGCTGGGGTTGGCCCTCGGGGTGAAAAAAGCCAGCATCCTCTCCCCCCTGCTGAAATCAACAACACAACAGCGGCTCAGGGTCCAGGCACTGCACACCCTTGCCCTGAGCAGGCTCCTGCCACGTTCAGCTCATTCAGAGAGTGTCCAGGGCTTTGCCTGCTAAAGCAAACTGGTGGCTGTGGCAGGCGTGTGCAAAGGCTCAGCCTGCAAATTGCACTTCAGCCTAAAATAAATCTGTGCTAGCTGAAGAACAGTTTACTTTGTTCAGGTTTTATTATATACAATGGTCAATCATGCCTTTGCCTGTTTTCACTTCTCTTTCCAAATCATTCTTCCTTCCAGGTTACATATGAACTGTGCTGTGTGTTATATTTTTATTACTTTTCTTTTTTTTTAATATAATGAGAGACATACACATTGCAGAAGGAGGAGCAAAGAACTGTGGAGGCTGGAAGAATCAGGAAAATGCTCTGCTCATCTTTAAGCCTCCAAACCTCTCTTTAGTTAAAAACCTGGTACTTATTTTGAAGTGCATACTCCTTCTCCAACTTCTATACCAGCAGCTTTTTAAGCAGTCCCTTTCCTTGGACACTGTCTGTACTTGGAACAGTTCCTCAAGGTGTTTTTTTGTTTGCCTTACAAAGCTCTTATATTTATAATCATAAACACAGTGAAACACCATCTCAGTGTCTCTCTCATCCAAGGTAACTCTTGCCATAACATCTCTTGGTGCAATCAGGCACAGCAAAACCATGAGCTTCAAACACTGACATTATTCCCTTACACTGCCTCTACACAAACAGTTTGTTTTTTTCCTAGAAACAGGTGATTCTTGAATTTGTGTCTGCCTGTCCAGATTAGAACAATCACTGAAAATTCCATGGAGCATGAACCAGCAGAGTCTGACAAAGGATCAGGTACTTTTGCATCCATGACCTGCGTTGTATTATTGCATGGTTTCAACAGCAGTATCTATGCCTTGACAGGACTTCCACTTTAGACCTCAAATACTAATGAACATTTTATCTGCAGGGGGAAGGCTTTGACTAATTCCATAAACAACCTCTGGTAACCCCACAAAAGCTCTCAAATAGAATGCATGTCTAAGGGAAAAAAAGTAAGTATTATGAGAGCACCTTTATTTACACAGGATTTTCTTTTTCCCTTCCCTTAAATATTCACAAAACTCCTTTTGCACCTGTAAGACATCAAAAACCAGAGGGTTTCATGCTAATTGGCACATTTCTTGAGGATAAGGAGACAAAACACAAAGGTGCAGAAGGAACAGACTTATGGTCTAATAGCAAGATTATTTTCATTGACAATACAAATTAGTACCTCTCCATTAAAGAAAAGCAAAAGAAATACCCAGTGAGGACTGGTTACTAAGGCTCAGCTGAGATTTGGTAAGAAACAGTTCGTGGTATGTGGGCCAGTTCATGTTTGATAGCTCAGTAGTTCAGCATTTACACCTCAAAATCAAGGCCTCTGCATTATAAAGTATATACAGGCTACAACTTATCAAGAACTCAAGTACTTAAATCCCACACAAACGAGCTTCAAACCTCCTTGCACTACAACTCAAAAGCACAACTTGCCACAGGGAAAATCCTAAAGCTCATCATGGCATTTGTCCACAGTGTCCAAAACAAGAAAGCAACAGAAATGTGCATCTGTCTTTTCCACCTCTAATCACAAACAGTTTTTTTTTCCCTGCTGAACTGAATGGCACCAAGTCTTCATGGAAAGTTTGGTATATAAACCTTTGACAGCAGCAATTAGTGAGAAATTACAGAGCTTTCCCTTCAGATTCTCTTCAATTTGTATTCAAAAATACAAAAGCAAGAGCACTCCTGAAAAACCCAAACATATGCACAAAACCTTACCAGCATTAAATCCTTGTTTTAATATTAGTTCTGATATCAACATCACCATAAGCTCTATGCCTTGATCAGATAATTTCTTTTATTCAACCCTACAGCAGCTGGAAGATGATGAAACTAAAAGGAACAAAAAAATTCTAGGAGGAATTTAAATGCAATAACTGGGAGCTAAAATCTAATCTCTGCTAAATGCCTGCTGTGAGAACCATAAATATTAGCAACCATTTCTTTCCAAACCAAAAAAGGATCCCAGCACATCGGAAGAGCATCTGAGAGCAAAGCCCTCAGGTACAAAACACATCCAACATGCTCATTACTGAAACTTCAAAAGCAAACAATCATTTCACATAAAAGTCTAGGATGGCCAACAACCACCCAATATTTAACTACCAAGCTCAATTATCACCAAATAAAACCGTATGAAGTGAACAGAGTCAAAGGCATTAGCACACCACATTGGTTTGCACTGATGAAAAATCTGATGGGGTTTGTTCCCTGCTGGGATCTCAAATGCCACCACTGGTCTTTGCTGCTACCAAGATGCTTCTGTGAGCCTGGAAAGGTGGAAAGCTCTGGACTTTTTAATGACTCAATCCATTTCAGAAATAAGAAAACCTACTGAAGACAATAAAGAAAAGGGATGGAACAAGTTTTGCTTGTTCCTCCAAAAAGAATGAAAGGAAAGGCAACTGGATCAACCACTCCTTTTTTTCACTGCTCTGAACATTTACTGGTTTTGAGACGGCTTGAAGAGGGGAAGCAGAGACAAAACTGCAGCACTGCTTCTCCAGAGAGGTCTGTGAGTCAGACATGGTGCCCCAGGTCTAAGAGAGCTGAGCAAGTCAGCAGAACATTAATTCCTGCTCCAGCTAGTCTGGCTTCAACTGAAGATAAAAACCAAACATGACTGCTAAGTGACATGTGCCAATAAGCAAAACAACCCAGAAGAAGCTTTTCAGCAGTAATTCCTTTTTCAGTGGTTAAGGACACAACAGTGCAAGGACAAACACTGTTACCACTAATTCCCATGTAGTGGTGACTTAGTCTCACCACCACCACCATTGTTTACACTTCTGTGCAAGAGAACAACAAGTGGCTTTTCCAGGTACAACAATGAAGAACCAAGTCAAGCAAAACACCTGAAAAGAGCTTTTTAACTTCTGGACTTAAAGCTACAAAACCTCAGAACATTAAGGACAGGTCCCCTGCTCACAGGAGTACACTGACATTTTGGAGGAAAGGACATAGAGCTGTGAAGATGACTGTACATATGCTGACTCCTGATGTTCCCTCATCACACAGCAAATTACAGGCAAGCAGGTAAGTCCACTGAAGCTGCAGTGCAGTGGCTACCCAATATCATCTACATCACAGAAACTAAATTGCTAACATCTCTCCTACTTAAAATGTCTCAGGTCTAGCTCATCTTAAATCAATGTTTGTTTTTCCTAAAGACAATTTCTGTATTGTTATTTTTCATCAGCTTACACCACTGCCTTCCCCAGATTTAAATATGCAGCAACAGAGGGAGGTATTAATGTTTTAAGCCTTCTCATGTCAAAATACATTTTCTTTCTGAGAGTATTTCACAATGTATAGGGCTGCACTAAGTTTTTCAGAGATGCACCTATTCATCATCAGGGCCTGTCTCACACAATTTGATGTACAAAATGCTGAGCCCAGGTAGAACACCTTAGTCAACCACAGAGACCTGGGACTGATTGATACAAGCTCTGATTTTATACTTCAAATTTCCTCTAAAGTCCTGAGCAGAAAATGAATTTTCATTCTTTGTCTGCAAATCAATGAAGAAAGAACGATTTCCTCTTATTGTTTACTCCTTAATTTCTAGATTATAAATCATCCAGAGTTTCCAGCTCCAAATTTTGAAGTTTTACAAAGCGTCTGCCTTCCTAGGATCTGGCCAGGAAAGAGTTCTCTTCAATGAAAAAGAAACTTTTCTATTATTCAATTAAAGCTGGAGTAATGAAAACACCTTTTTTTTTAAGTTGCAGGAGTTCTGTTCAGGGGAAAGTATAAAAAGCATCTTTCAAATTTCAAGTACTGAAAGATTGTGAGCAGTGCCAAAACAAGTTAATTTTAAATACTGTGTCTATATAAATAAAGGTCAAAAGATTGAGCCAAAAGGATTTGATTTACATGGTGAATGTTTTTCAAACCTCTGCTCTGGAAGAATCTGTAGTTTGACCTAAAACTAGACTAACAAAAAGAAGTGATGCCATTCAATGGCCATGACTTTTAGAACCAATCCACTGATACCTATCAAGGCTGTTTTTCATCAGCCTCTCACTATACAGATCTATATATAGTCAGTGTTGTGTTTTGAGCAACTTAGAATTCTGTCAAATATGAGATCACAAATTCTAAAAGCAGAATTCTATGAAGGACTGCTTGAATTTAGCAAGCTGGAGCCTCTGTCATAATCATTATGACAGTTTTATGATGAAGATGAAGTTTATTTGCCACTAACATTAGCAGGACAAATTTATTTATAACAAATGCTTTAAAAATGTACTGATAAAAATGCCTATTGATACTGTCAGAGCTGCTTGCAATTTGACAGATCAAATCTTATTTTCATTCTTAAACCCCATGAAGGAATGGTATCACCAACTTGCATTCTGTAGTGAGCAAATTGATTAATCCCCCTCTATAGAAATCTCAACTCTTGATTACACCTATCAGACGTTAAGCAGCATTATTCTAGAGTGACAACACTTGACAAATTCCCAAACCATTTTTCTCAGCCTTTGTGGCCCTGCTAGCTTGTATTAACCCTGATGAAAAATTAATTTTCCTTATCTTCTGCTAAACCCCAAAATCCAAATCCGCCAAACTGGCAACTCTTTCTGTAAAGGTATTATGAAAACCTCTAAAAGATTAATTGCATGTCTTCAGGTGACATTAAATTAATTTCTGTACTCGTGACAGACATTTGATACTCCGTACTGAGAGGACAGATAACATTGTCAGGATACACAGAAGGACAGTGGTGCAGTGTCCCAGGGCAGCCTCTTATGAATTCTCCTTTCGATAAGGCCATACTTCACTGTCATTGGCACTGTTAGTGATCTTGCAGCCCACAGACCTCACTGCACAGGTTTCTATTAACCACCACAATGCTGGCTCTATCCATGTAATCTTT